CTCCTGCATATAAACTACAGTACAAAGTATGAGAAAAAGTAGCGGCTTGTACACCGGCAATTACGGTAGTTAAACGTTACCTCAAAGCTAAAACGTGTAAAAGCTAGCTAAAAGCACAAAAAAGCTTCTTTTTTTTTGTTGACTTTATGCTTGTATGTGTTAGTGTACAGCACTTTGGCCAACTGTGTTGTTTTTAAAGTGCTTTGTAAATAAAGTTGCAGTGTACTTGTCAGATTTTCACCAGTCGCGGGGGTTTCTGGATCGCAACCCCCAAGATAGGTCAGGGATTACTGCACATAAAAGTTTCAGCTCCCTCCATAGCTTTATTTATTAGAACAAGGGAAAAACTAGCTCACAGTCCAAGCCAATATTAATTTTTATCTTTGTTTTCAAGCCAACTTGGTGTTTAAGCAACTAAAAATGATTAATACTTTTAAATATTTTTATTTTTTTACTTTAAAACTAATTCTGATGGGTAATAACAGAGCATCAAAGCTCCTTTGCCTTTTTACTCATAAAGGAACTGTTTGAACTTGATTTGAATTCAAATGATGATTTTTTTGTAAGTTCAACTGTTTTGTTGCAAATTACAGATCACAACTTCAAAAAACAGTCCGGCTTGAAACGGCTCAAAGTAAAATGTACCAACCTGATCAGTTGGAGTGTAGTCATTCTGTTGCACAATGTCGATCTTATCTAGAAAGCTGAAGAGACACAAAAGGTAAAACAACGGCGACAGACATTCGTGCACGTTGCTCAACTTGAGGGCTGTAGTGCAACTTGCAGACGCAAAAAACAAAAAGTGTTAATTCCAAATATGACATTGCATTTCCACACGGGGAGAAGTTCAGTCGTATTTATGTGGTTTTTGTAAAAGTTTAATAAATATCTTATTTATTTCAACAGCTCCTTGAACAGTATCAGTTTGACGAGAACAGTTTAATTCTGACCCAGCTGATGAGCAAACAGCTAACCCAAACTCAGCCAAGACTAAAGTGGATTGCTGTCATCTTAAACCAGCTCTATTTACAATTTTACAGCTGTCCATGAAAACAGTTTATTTATTTATTTATTTTGCATTAAATATTTATTTTGGCTGAGATAATTTAACTGTCCTGTCAGATTTGACCTCTGGCTGTCACAGAAGTGTTGCATGTCCCACTGTTGGTTGTAAATAACTACAGATCTATGTAAATATCCAAGACAGACAAAATCAGCGACAATATTAAAATTTAAAATGGCTTTTGCATAAATCACTTTGAAATTTTAAAGATTGGAGTTGTTTTACGATGGCAGTGAAATAATAGCATGCAAACACCAATTGTATTGTTTTATGCAGATAAATCCTCCTTGCTGATTCATAAGATCCAAAAACAACTTAAGAAACTGTCAAATATGTCAAAAAACAAAATACAGATGAAACTAGATGTTTAAATACACTGCGCAAAAGGACACTGTTTAATTCCTCATTGTCTGACATAAAATCAGACCAAACATTTTCGGTTTCAAGTCTGTTAGGATTCCCAAAAATTACTTCCATTTGTTAAATGACCAAATAGTTAGAGATTTTTTTAAATTACTTTCTTCAAAGTAATAAGTTGATGCACACTAAAATCACTAAACCTTCAAACAATATGGGGAAAGCCCAAATGATGACATGGCTGTGGGAACTTTTGGTAGGTTAGTTCACACCCGAGTTAATTCGAGGCACACCTGTGGTACATTCATGGCACACCTCAATCACCTTGCTTCTTTGTGTGGGAAAAAGTCTAAAAGAAATCAGCCAAGATATCAGGAAGAGAACTGTCGACCCCCACAACTACGTCCATCTTTGAGTACAATTTTCCTGAAGAGCCTGAAGGTGCCAGGCTCATCTGTTAAAAAAAAAGCGTTTAACAAATAAAATAATTTTGGCAATCCAAACAGGCATAAAACAGGACAAGTTTAATCTGGTTTAATGTCAGACTGGGAGGGAAAAACTGGTTATGTCTCTTTATACTGTGCAGGTAATTGTCTGGTTACAACCGAACATGCCAAAAAAGGATTTCACAAAACCTGAAGTGATTTTGATGCACAAGTTCATAACAATCCAGATCTCTTAAAATGACTAAATAATATGACCGTTTTTGGACTTAAGGGGGGGGGGGGGGGGGCTCTTTATAAAACCATGAATCAAAAGGAAGAAGAAAGGCAGAATGAAAGCGTAGTGGCGTCTGACATTACGGAGCAGAATTCAAAAATAGCTCCCCAGCGCCCTGGCCTGCAGCGCGGTAACCATGGAGACGCAACTACAGGCTATTAATAGTCCATCAGCTCCCAATCTTGTGCAGCTGGAGTTGCTCAAGAGAGAAGACAGACAGACGGATGGGGAAACCGAAGACAGAGGAGGAGGAGCGAAAGAAAACCAAAAGCAGGGTGAGTTTGTGTTTTTGTGCTGGAAGTGTGCGCAAGAAAGGGGGAGGGAACCAAAACGTTGGACTGAACTATCTCAACGATCTGAGGGAGAGATAGGGGGGGGGGGGGGTCCGTCTTTAAACTCCTAAAACATCAAACCAATCAAACAATCAAAAAGCCAAATGAAAACTCACCAAGAGTAATTTAAGGATAAAAAGCAGTCGAGGCTGCAGGTTTGTTGCACCGAAGGTTTCCTCCTCAAACACCCCCCCGCTCCTCTAAACATCCTCTTATCTGTGGATGACTCAGCCTCGGCCATGTTTGCTCCTAAACATTACAATCTGCTGCCGTTTCATGACCTCTTCAGTGCATTCGTTTTGGAAATCTCTTCTAAACACTGACAAAGTCAGCTCTGAATAGTTACAAACACACCCAAGTTATTTAATTTAAATAGGTTTATATGAAAATGTTTATGCTGGATTGTTCTGATTTAGACCATAGTTTTGGGATTACTTCATGCTCTGACATCAACAAAAAGAAATATATACTGACTGAATATTTTAGTTCAATAATCCAGTAGGTCCAAATAATTTTTCTGAAGCCCGTTTAGTGCGTACAAGGTGTTGAGAGGCATCATTCAGCTGCCACTAGATGTTACTGGAGAGCCCCATTTTAAAAGCACTTTTACATGAACAGTTTTAAACAGAGGTTATTTTACTTCTTCTACTGGGTTGGTTCACATTTCTTTAAAGTAATATTAAAGTTCATAAATGACAATGAACAGCGCAGCAAACCCTGAAAAAAAGTGTAAAGCGGGGTCGCAGCTGTCTCAACAAAACATCTGACATGGGTCAAAAAACACGTCGACAAGGGCATCAAATTACTGCATCTCTCACAACAAACTTATGAAACACAGTAAAGCTGTTCGAAGTCTCTCTCAGTCATAATCACAGCATATTATTCGCACAACAGATTGGTTTTTAGTTTGTCTCAGAAATTTTATGATATTACAATACAATAAAAAGCTTGACACATTCCATCGGAGCAAACTCGGGTCGTCTTTTATGTTGCTTCATGTTTTAAAATGTAGTTCTCTATGGTGCATCTATGTCAAGACAAATAAGGTTCTATTACCGTATTTTCCAGAATATAGGCACAATTAAAATCCATTAATTTTCTCAAAAACTGACTGTGAGCCTTATACCGTATTTTTCGGCCTACAAGTCGCAGTTTTTGCATAATTTACAAGCCCTGCAACTTACAGGCCAAAGCGACGCATTTATGGATTTTTTCCCATATTTATAAAACAATTTTTGGCTGAGATATGATCGTTTTCATTCATTCTGACTGAAAAAAAAGAGTTGAACAGTACAATTTTTAGCCACTTGATGGCAGCAGAGAAGTAGGGCATGCTTTTGTATCATGTAATAGGTAAACATGGCTATAATGACAAATTCAAAAAAGTTCAAGACAAAAACAACTGGATTTTATTATACTTTATTATTCTGTCTTGAACTTTTTGAATTTACCATGCCCTGGATGACTGAAAATCTTCACCAGCTATTAATGACACAATCGGCCTGCCATAGTTTTCCAACTTCGTTCTGCTCGCTGCTTGGAGCAACCGTCAAACCATCTGCACTGCCCCGGAGAAATGCAGCTAATTTGACCATTAAAGTGCATTTATTAAGTAAAAGTTCAACTGAGACACACCTTAACTATAATTTCGAGCAAACAAACAATTGTTTAGGTGCTTTTCTTGTTAAATTTTCAAGAAACGAGCAGCGTTCCTCCTTCCTTTTTGACCTCCCTCTGCGTGCTCCCGGAGCACCGAGGCAGAGAATACAGCGTCTATTCCCGCAAATCGGGTTTTGAAATACAGCTGATTTGACCATCACAGTGCATTTATCAAGCAAAAGTTAGCCTGAGACACACCTTTTCTATAATTTCGAGCAAACAAATTGTTTTTAAATGTTAATCTTGTTAAATTCTTGTTCAAGCCCTCCTGAGCATGCTCCTGCAGTTGCCATTTGGCAGCCCATTGATTTTTGGCGTAACACCGGCCCACATTTCCGGGTTGTCAGCAGTGACGCGCAACAAACGCGTGGCATCAGCGGTGACGCATAATAGATGCAACGTATAAGGCTAAGTAATATATTTATGGATTTTTCCACTTTTTTTAGACATATTTGGCCTGATGCAACTTATGGGGTGGAAAGACGGGTACAGCAGAAAATATGGTAATCCGGTGCGCCTTATGTATTAATTCTGGTTGTGCTTACTGACCTCAAACCGATTTTATGCGGTTATTGTGAATGAGTTGAATAGTTTGACTTATCCGTTTTGTTTTGCTTAATGCACCTTATAGTCTGAAAAATATGGTATAAATAATATTAGTCAACTTTAGGAATATTGTGGTGCTGCAGAGAAACACGTTCAGCACATTACTGAAATGGTTTTAGTCCATCGTTATTTGAGCCAACATTATTAGACAAGATGTGTCAAAACCTGACTGAGTTATCTTCAGAGCATCAGTGTCTCTTCTCTTTACTGCAACGAATGTGAAATATAGATCATAAAAATCTAGACTTTTCAAAACTTAAGTAAATTTGTGAGTTGTTTTCCAATATAAGAGAATTGTAAGTGATGCAGTTTAGAGGAAGTAATAAAATTAGGTTAGGCCACTTTTTACTAGGAAGCACTGATCCCCTCTGCTGACCACATCTCTGCAGAGAAAAGTTGACGTTTGTTTCCTTAGTACAGGATGCAATTCAGACTCACTTACCAGAAGTTAAAATACTCAAGTTTATGAACGAACACGATCAAACAATATTTATATTTGACATACTGATCACAGAATGAAAAGCTTTAAGTGTCCGAATTCCTGACAAACATGAACGATACAGACGCTGCAGAAAAATGATACGCGTTTAAAAACTATAACTAAAGCCTTCTCAAAAGACTTCATAATTGATTTCTGCTTGAATACTTTAAAAAAGTGCCGTCATCAGAATATGGCTTAGTATCTATCAGTTATCCAACACTTTATCCTATTAGTAAGCAGTTCATTTTTCTATTACATCTTCATTAAAAACATTCTCACAGCTGGAACATCAGTTTGTCTCAATAATTAAACTACAGAAACATTAGGTTGTAACTAAACAGATTTTTGGAGTCACTTCTATTTTAAAGTACCGGTAATAAAACTATTACCAGTCACTCCTTAAAATCCATAGTAAACTTCTGTGATGACGTAAGTCATCCTGAGATGTAAAAACAAAAACGTAGAAAGAATAAAGTAGAAAACAAATGCTGTGGATTCTTGCTAACCAGTCTCTTTTAATCTGTTTCTCTCTGGGTGAAGGACAGACTGGATCTAAAATTGGAAAGTTAAAATGCCTGTAAGAATTTCAGTCCATCCCACAAAACTACATTTCACAAAGTTGGACTAATAAAGCACAGATAAAGTGGTTGGGAGTCAAATTATTCTGATATTTGTTTATTTGCACTCATGTTCCACAGATCCTGCAGTGAGTTTTGACCTTGTTATACAGTTCTGTGCAAAAGCGCTGAGCCTTCCTTCATTTCTTTACATTTTGATTTCAGCGAGTCAGAAATTTCTGACAGAAATCATCTTAGTGGAAAGAAAGGGTATGTCTTTGAAATGCAACTGTCAGGAAGTTACTTACTATTGTGCACAGTCAATTAGTTGATACTCATTGGATCTTTCGTAGCATGCCCGGACTCCTTCATCTTGCCACAACGTCTTTGCATGATCGTAAAACTCCTGAGGACGAACAAGGAGAAAAAAAAACAACTTAATGACAAAAGGCAGAACTGGAGGAGACTGATCAAAGATCCAGCAAGCGTATTTAGTGATTCTGCAGAAGAGATTTACTGTTGTCAGTGTGCTGGTTAAAAACAACATAATGAAATAAAAAGAACACACAGCTGTTTGACGTTAGAGAAAATGGAAGTTTACACACATGCCTTTGCTCGGTTAACCAGATCAACCAAATATTCTTTGAAGTAAATCTAAGACAGGAAGTGTCCACAAGTAAGAGTCGTTTTGTATCTTCGCTGTGCTCCAAATATGACAGATTTTAAAGCAGACAGAAAAGACGACGCAAGGTTGTCTGTTGTCTCTGGTGTGTGTCTGAGGTCGCTGGGTGCACAGAGCTTTTGTTGACACCACACCAAGTGTACAATGTGCCTGGTAATGTCCGTGTACGTGTTTTTAAAGGTAAATAGTGGTGAAAAATAAAACCGACACCGATAATGCAAACACTAGAAAGAATTAGTGACAAGGCAGCAGCATTTAAGATGCTCGCCATTGTTTATATTAGACAAACATGTTTTCTCTAAAGCTTTCATTTTAAGTTGCAGAATAGACACTTAATATATCTATAATAATTTTATCTGCAATAAAGACTATGCCAACAGCACAAAAATAAACAGCAAAATACTCTAGTTATAAATTATGGTATTTCAAAACCATTTAGTTTTTTTTGGAAAACAAAATGTATTATACCCATGTTTTAAAATTGATTTTATTATATATATATATATATATATATATATATATATATATATATATAT